ACAGGAGATTGATGTTACTCCTGTCATTCCCCCAGACAGGATAATAGCTACTACTATTTTGTCTATTTCCTCGTCCCTCTTGCAGGCCATACAAGCGAAACAAAGCATGGCACCTAGCAAGAGGCCTAATGATAAACTGTTCGTTGATGTTCCTGAGAGACGGGATATTATGTCATTATATCATGATGCTAAGACTGCTGGACATCCTGGTATTTCCAAAACGGTGTCAGCTGTTTCTCTGTATTTTTGGTGGGATTCCTTACGAAAGGATGTCACTGACTATATAAGTGCTTGTACTACTTGTGCCTGTATGAAATCCTCCCGTAGAGTTCCTTGTGGGCTGTTGCATCCGTTCCCCGTTCCCGAGAGACCTTGGTCTAACCTGTCCATGGATTTTATTGTTGAATTACCCCCTTCAAATGGTAACACAGTAATCCTGATGATAGTGGATCGGTTCTCCAAAATGGCTCACTTCGTGTCTCTTCACAAGTTGCCCACATCTAAGGAACTGGCTCATATCTTCGCTAGAGAAGTATTTCGATTACATGGGATTCCCGTATCTATTGTATCCGATAGGGGTAGCCAATTTATTTCCAAGTTCTGGAGGGCCTTTTGTTCAGAAATGGGTATTTCTCTCTCATTTTCTTCCGCTTATCATCCCCAGTCTAATGGGGCTGCTGAACGTGCCAACCAGTCTCTGGAGCAATACCTCCGTTGTTTTGTGTCTCACCATCAGGACAATTGGTCTGACCTGTTTCCTTGGGCTGAATTTGCTCGGAATAACGCCACTCATGATTCTTCCGGCAAGACCCCTTTTTACGTTGTCTATGGCCAGCATCCCGTTGTTCTTCCGACTGCATTCTCCTCACAGGGCATGCCAGTTCTGGATGAGCATTTGGCTGGTTTGCGTAATACTTGGGAGCAGGTTCAGCGTTCTTTGGTGGACTCTGCTACTCGCCAGAAGGCTCAGGCTGACAAGCATCGCAGAGCAGCTCCGTCCTATGTTGTGGGGGACAGGGTTTTGCTTTCACGCGGAATATTCGTCTCCGGGTGCCTTCTATGAAATTGGCTCCCCGCTTCATTGGACCTTATCGTATTATACATAAGGTTAATCCTGTTTCTTATGCCTTAGGTCTGCCTAAGAATCTACGTATTCCTAATGTTTTTCACACCTCATTGTTGAAACCTTTCGTACGCAACCGCTATACCCGGCATACTCCTCCTCCCCCTCCTATCTCGTGGAGGGTCATGAGGAGTTTGAAGTGTCTGCTGTTCTTGACTCTCGTTTCCTTAGGGGTCGACTTCAGTACTTGGTACATTGGAAGGGTTATGGGCCTGAGGAGCACAGTTGGATTTCGGCTGATGCTGTCCATGCTCCCCGTCTTGTGCGCTCTTTCCATTCTCGTTTTCCTGCCAGGCCTGGTCCTACCCGCCCGGGG